GAATGTTGTAAAAGTCTCGTATAAATATTATTACACGTGTCTATAAAAAGATTAAATAATAAGATTCCTTTATATATAAATATGAGGTTTAGACAACAAAAGAATACCATTTATAATATATATAGAGACCTATATATTTTATACAAACAATAAAAAAATAGTGCCATATATATATATATACCAATGTAAAAGACCAAATTTATTAACCAATATAAAAATAAATAAATATAATTTCTATATATTCACGTACGGAGAGAAATAGAGAGAGAGAGATATATCTATATATATATGGATATAAAGAAGCTTTATATATTTTTATATATATATAATAAAGAATTCAAGATCGAAAAAAATTAAAAACAACGATACTAATAATAAATAATTGTATATATATATATTAGACGACACAACCCAATCGTTCCAATTTCCCTTGCTTAGTGTCGAGAAAATCCGCAATAGATATATTTGATTGCTAGCAGCCGATCCGTTTTCAAGGGTCGTTTCTAGTCGCTAGAGCTCTAAACCAGACGCATAATCATAACCAACAACTCACTTGCCGCAAAAATGGCCGATTCATGGCTTAAGCATTCGTGCGAAGATGTATTTACACATAATCAAGCAGACATCAAAAACAGTGCACGCCCACAGTCCCCCGGACTCTAAATATAATCATCAAATATTGTCGATATATTATCTAATAATTTTTCTTCTGGCAGACGAAATCGAACAAAGCTTGTTCAAGCCTGAGATTTTATAATGCACACCAGGTGTATCTTCGATGGTTGTCATTGGAAGAATTGCAGGCCAGCTACAATCTCTGGGCAGATCTAGATTTAACCATATCTATCTTCCCCGCACCATTGTGCCAATTGCGGACAAACCCGAAGCCAAACTTCTGCTGGTTCCACGGTGGCCGAAAGCTCGAAGTAGGCCAAGGAACCTCATTGTGCTGTGGATGCAGCCCTATTCAAGCCCGGAGCACCATCCACGGGCCCTTACCCGTGTTCATTACGTTTGGAGGTGCGGTGTGTCATTGCGCATGGAATCGCAAAGGCCTTGCCAACCTGGAAGCCAACGCACGGCACCGGATGAGCTCATCTTAGACAAAGGCGAAAGCCTACCTCATGAGGTGCTGCCTTTCGAGAGGAAGAGAGCTTCTTCAAGAAACTGGCTGGAGAAGCATGCTCCTTCATTCGTACTTACCGGCAGTCATCTGGCACAAGAGGCGAGCCAGAAACCAATGTGGCAAGCTCACCCTGCCTCTGCTCAAACACTCGAAGGGCAAGCTCTTCTGTGGCGTGTCTCCAGTCGCCGCATAGGAGCTCGAATCACTATAGGTTCGTTTCACCATACCGTTTTGACTGCGTTCAATGCAAGGCTTCCGGCATGTGGCGAAACACTCTGCCAAAGCTCGTCATCTTCAAGTTTGACAACTCTTTTCACCTGCGCTGCATGCATTCGAGTATACTTCCAAAGTGATGCTGCAGCAGACCATGGGCGTCTCCACACAGTCACAGGCAGCAACTGTCCAAAATCTACCACCCCCGGTTGCAAACTTTTGAGTGAGCGGGCTAGGCACAAACCACCTGCAGAGCTCCCTGCACCTAGTTGTGCCGACTCTCGGTCATCCAGCCGATAGAGTCGAAGACAGAACAACTTGAAAGCTCTTTCTTGCTTTCTTAGCCCACCCGGACACATTAAGAGGTGTCTGTGCACCGAAGGGTCACGGGCTTGCTACCTTGCGAGAGTCTTGCCAGCCATGGCTTCTTGGCTCACACGAAACCGAGTCACAAGAACTGGCTTGCAGAACCTTAGGCTTTGCCAGATTGTCAAGTTGAAACACGACAAGAGCAGTGGTTTCCGAAGCTGTCGCCGCAGCGCTTTGAAACCACTGGCCTTAATGCACGTTGGACAAGAATGTTGACTAGGCCGCCAAACTATGGATGCCTAGCAGTAAACCCCTGTGTCACTGAGACACCCGTGGCTGGATGGCCGTGACACGGGACGCGCACTATGCTTCTGCTTCTACATGTACAACTTTTCCGTACTAGGTGGTAAAGTCTTCGCTTCACAATCTCTTAATTGCCGGGATGGAGCAGATGGGTCTGGAACAGCGCTTCCGGGAGGACACTCCCATCTCGATAAACATCAACGGCATGACCTCCTCAAATGTTGCCTACTGCGCTGCAGGCTTTGCAAGGTGCTGGAAATGTTGCCTCGTGACTTTGGTCATGCAGCTGATCTTGGGCATGTTCGTCAGGAATTGCAAGGCTGCAGAGGCTAAGGTCAGAGCTTGGCCGAAAATAACGACAGCTCTTGGAGCCTGCTCCGGTGTGCGAGGGCTCGTGATGGAGACGTCAGTCATGCATTGGCGCAATGGCCCGTGCTACAAATACACAAAGCACGTGGTGATGCCTGCTGCGGAATGGTCATGCAGAGCGCAATGCAACTGTTGTGTTTGTCAGTTCTTACCGCGATTTAGGGCTCAGACGTGTTCTGAAAATAGCTTGCGTGCCTCACTGCACGAAGTGGGTTCAGTCGCATCATCGACTCTTGTGCCCAGCATCATTTGAGGAAAGTGGAAGTTTGCATTGGGCTCGTCTCACCTTCGTTTTACGTCAAGCAAAACTCACAAAACGGTGGTGAATTGCAACATCTCGCCGCACAAAACACGTTTCTGCAGCTTCTCGTGAAGTTTTGGGTAGAATGGGTGGGCAGTGATTCATCCCTGTCGCGCTTCCTCACCGGGTACCTGACGTACCTGGGCCTCAACACCGAACATGAGCCTGCATGGAGGCAGCAAAACAGCTTGTGTGAGCTTCCGATGCTACAAGCGGCCTCTGAGACTTTCGAGTGCCAGGGAAAAGTGCTCTGCTACGTGCTCGACAGCTCTTCATGTGCGCAAATGCCGCTGCGGCCGCGCTAGCTGCGGGTGCGGTGAGCATTTGCCACTGATCTGGTGGGCATGTGCCTGTGCATCCGACGGAAAGCTGCGCTTCCAGCGAAGGCGAAGAAGGCCTGTGCTTTTAGAGGAAAACACCTGACCCTTCTTCAAACGTGCAGTCTCTCCTTGCGGACGATCCCTGCCGAACTCGGGTCTGGGAGTTGCCACACAACTGTGCCGCGGTCACGGTCCATGAAAGGCACGTCCTCTAGCAAGAAGCTCTGCCGCGAACGGAACAACTCACCACGCGCACTGTGTTGGACAGTTGTTCTCGAACGCGGGCAGCCAAGTCGTTCCTGGACTGCGCATGCCGACTTCTTCAGAAGTATCGAGCCACGGTCAGTTAACAAATAGGTCATCTTAACAACTTGTGCCAACTCCAGTTTGCCACGTGTGGCAAGGACTTTGCAGTCTGCAGTTGCAGCACTATTCTCATTTTCGTGTCTCGAAAAACCCTGTCTTATTGCGAGACATCACTCCGATCATCTGATGCGACATTTTGGGGCCAGGTCCGCCAACAGAACTATCTCCCAGGTCGAGCCGGATGAGCATCCTGTTGTTTCAACAAGCCTTCACCTCACCGCTACAAAACGCGTGGCTGCAGCTCCGACAGCACCTGCTGACTTGCGATGTGTCGGAACTGAGCTCTGACAGCTACAGCGGAAAAGGTGAGGGATGACAGTATTCACGACCATACTCAGTTTGAGGTGGGGGATTACTACTGCGGAATGGTGCAGAAATGATATGCACCAGGATGCTACGGAGAGGTGTGAGATGCACAAACTAGCCAAACCACTCCCCATCAATGCCACGGTAGCACTCAGGCGATTGCTGCAGGAGGCATGCTTCCACAGGCGCGCTGCCATGCATCCGACCATGCCGAACTTGCAAGAGCTTGCGGCAAAGCGTTGTGTTCGGCCGCACCGCCACGAGCGACTCAGCACTGCCACGTCTGCATCTGGGCTTGTGCTGTGAGCAGGCAGCAGATCCGCGGATTTGTGCCGTCGATTCTTTTGGCGCTGTTAGCTGTCTTCGTCCTTGAGTGACCAAGATTACTCGTAAGGAACAGAAGAGCGGTACATGATCCAGAAAAGTTTCATTGCGACCTTGGGGATTTGCGGTCGTATACACGGGCAGGAAGGACTAGAAATTCGAGGCGACAGACTGCAGTCACACTGCGCGGGTGCCTCTGCACCACAAGCTAGAATGCCGATGCCAGTCAAGGGTGGCAACAAAAAAGCCCAAGGCTGTCGCAACTGCAAGCACCACCTACGCCCAAAAGCTGAGCCTCTAGCTGACACGCAGATATGCACGGCTCAGAAGCACAACTGGCTCGGGTGAAGCTCTCTTGGCATGGGAACAGGAGAGCGGACGGATGCCAGCCGTGCTCTCTTTGTAAGAGGAGCGAGGCGCGCCAGCATCAAGTATACACATGAAAGGATACAACAGCACACCGAAGAAACAGGTTTCTCATCCCTGCTGGTGAACAAACGGGTTCGCACATGGCATCGTGCGCTGCGCGACGTGGGGCTTATAAGGTCACAGGCCATGAGGACCTACACCCTGAGTTTTCATGAAGATGCGAACGTTGACGGCCGACAGACAGGGAAAGGCCTCGACCAAGAGATTCTTGGCAATGGAGAGGGCTAAGTTCTCCAGACGCAATGAACCGCGAGGAAGGTAACCATCTTGAAGCGAACCAGCTTGAAGCCGGTCACATTAAGATCTCGTCCGGTCTAATGCATTGAAGCCCCAAAGCTGTGTGCTCTACCGAGGGCACGCACTGTCGAGGTGCACCGTCGGCACCACTGTGGGTCACGAGTTCTCTCCTCCGGGCACGATGCCCTGGACTCTTTACGTGCAACGCCCCGCGCTGAAGAGGTAAGGAAGAACAAAACAAGGAGCACGGTACTCATGGCATCATGCCGACATCTGGGCAAACTTCACGGAGCCAAGCAGCGCGCTCGGCGATAGCAGCCGCACGTGCCAGCCGGAGAAGCCCGAACCTGCTGGTCGACGAAATTGCAGAGTCCACACTAACGCCTGCTTAGCTTCAGGTTATGCTGGCGGACAAGGAACGACCCGAGTCCGGACGAGGCCAGAAGCAGCTTGGGCCCGGAAGTACTTAGACTTAGCTTCTCCAGCAGTTTGTGGCTGTAGGAGCACCGTGGAAGGGAAGCTTGGAAGAAGGCGCAGCCAGCCGCTTCCCCTTTCATGGCTCAGAGGTGGCAAAGCACGGAGAAGACTCCTAGGCTGGGTCGTGCGCATCAGTTTTGAGACAGGCACTTCCGACCTCCAAAAGTTCGGCCGAGCATGAGGCTACCGTTTTTTGCAACAAATCAATACCGCTGATGGTGCAGACACTCTTGGGGGCAGTCGTTGCTTAACTTCGCTTTCTCGCCCGAGGATATCCTTTTGCTTCTCGGCAGATAAGAAGGAACGGGCAGCAGCTCTGCTGTCGAGCATCCTCATCACCCGCTTCGCATGCAGGAAGATCACAGAACCACACGCATCCAACCCTTGGCAAAAGCAGGCTTGTCTGAACCGCTGCTTCGTTGAGGCAGCAGCTACCGTCTTGGTTGTGTCGCGTTCATGTGTGCGTGCATCCCGAAATCCCATACCCGCGTGCTGATAACTGACACCCTCTCCAACAAAGGCGCGCTTGGCCCAAACAAGGGCAGAAGATTAGGTGTGCTCGAATTAGTGCAAAGAGGCCGCGGACCTCACAGCCCACACTCCGGCCCGTCGGCATGTGTATCTAACTTGTCGAGCTTTTGTGATAGGTTTGAGGAAGTGCAGGTGCCCTGGAAAGATTGGAACACGAGACCCAAGGGCCCCAGTAGGCCGCACCAGGGGCTGCCTCAGCGCTGAGAGCGCAATGGAGACGCGACGGAAGGTTTTAGTCTTCTCCTGATAGGGGCACTGAACGGTTTGGATTGCCGGTGTACCGAGTGTCATCGGTTAACAAGTGAAAGTCTTCCCAGCGATCGTGATAGTCTATTTGGGAGCTCTGAGACCTCTCGCAGTTTAACAAAATCACAGGCCACCTCGCAAGATTGAACCCAGAGCGCGGTGATGAGAGGAGTTCTAGGCAGTGTTGCCACTATCTTGCTGTGACACAGTTCTGGAGGACCCTAAGCCCCAGGCTGCAGCTTGCAACCTTGGCCACACCTCTCAAGGAAATTGTGCTCCTCCTGTGCGCACTTAAGCGCACGCGCTGCACGGGCAGCGGTACTCTTTGTGTCTCGGACAAGCTCGGTGGTTCAGTGCTTGAGGAGTGCCACATCCGAAAACATACTGCAGCCCGAGCGCCTCAGCTGCTTCCTGAGAACTGTCGCACCGTGAGGCTGTTTCTTGTACTCTGTCGCACCAGTCACTTGGACGACTTTGGCAGGGCATGACGCAAGCACCTCCTTCATCACCAACACACTGATTCCATGCAGCCTTCCTGGTCGAGGTATGACAGCATCATGTCATCAAGACTGGCCAGAAGCTCACTGCTGCGTCTTCACTGAGATCTCGCGCACATCTGTAGCTGGCGATTCGCCAGTGTCCTTTTGGAGTGCTTTGTTGCCAGCGACTTGGGTGATGCCGCAAAAGACACCCCTTCCAAACTCGACTGTTTCATCGCATGATGATGTCCTCAACGTTCTTCACCCTTCGCGCTTCAAAGTGGGTAGATACAGAACACATCAGACAGAACATGCGCCTGCTGCTGCGCGGGGCGACAGAGCTTTATGCTGCATGTGCCCATTCCGGTATGCCCGTGCCGACACTGCCCAGCCCCGGTCGGACGTCAACACCGCTCAGCTTGACGCCGACAGGTAAGCCTGAGTCTGATCAGTGGAGAAGATCCTGGGCATCACCTGGAACACTCGGCATCCTATGCCCAACCCAGCCGACACTCTTTGGGGGCAGTCGCTGTTCAACTTCGCTTTCCTGTTCGAGACCATCCTCTAGCAGATAAGAAGGAACGGGCAGCAGCTCTGCTGTCAAGCATCCTCATCACCCGCTTCGCATGCAGGAAGATCACAGAACCGCACGCATCCAACCCTTGGCAAAAGCAGGCTTGTCTGAACCGCTGCTTCGTTGAGGCAGCAGCTACCGTCTTGGTTGTGTCGCGTTCATGTGTGCGTGCATCCCGAAATCCCATACCCGCGTGCTGATAACTAGTAGGATGACATCACCCTCGTAATTCCGGGTGACACCTGCTCCAACAAAAGCGCTTTTGGCCCAAACCAGGGTAGACGATTCGGTGAGCTCGAAGGAAAGTGCAAAGAGGCCGCAGACCTCACAGCATCTGACTTTTCAACATTCGTGACAGGCCAAGGGAGACTCTACTGAAAGCCCTAGCCTACTGCTGATAGGGGTGCTGAAAGCTCTTGACTCACGACGTACTGAGTGGCATCCGTTACAAATGAAAGCCTGCCCCACCATCGTGATGCCACCTCACATTAATGCGGGCTTCTTGAGGGTTTTTACTGGACCTTGTGAGGTTTCTGCAGGATGTCGGGGGTGTGGAGCACTGCGCAGTCGTGTAGCATGCAGTTCCCAGTTCCCCACTACATAACCTTCTCTCGTTCTCGTGACTCGCACTGGCAACTGACTACGGCGGGTGGTTCTGCAGAA